TGTATTCAGACATTGACCAACCAGCACCTCCTGCTGCTACACCTGCACCAACTGTGAATTTAGGTGAACTTTATTCACAAGTGCAAAAAAAGACTGACAATACCCCTCCTGCTGCATATACCGGATATGGAAAAGTTAACAAAAATAAGAAGCCCAAGAAAGACGATGGAGTCACGGATGTGTATGCACAACCTAAGAAAAAGCCCAAGAAAGACAATGGAGTCACGGATGTGTATGCACAACCTAAAAAAAAGCCAAAGAAAGAAGATGAGAAGAAGAAAACGAAAGAAGTTGATAAGAAGAAAAACAATAAAGACAAGGATAAGGGTACAACAAATATTTATTATGAATAAGTGTGCGATTGAATTAACATGTATAACAAATTCACATTGTCTGCTTTGGTTTTCAAATCATAAAGAAACAGTATATCTATAATCTCAAGACTTTTTGAAAAGGCACTGTTCCAAGTCAAAAAGTTCTTAGACTGAATGAAATACATTGTTTTTATTATTAAGAGCCTCGAACAGGTGCTTCACCTTTTGGAGTTGGATGGCCAACATGTCCTGGAAAATTGCATTACAATGAATAGCAATTGGTGAAACATTATTGATACCCCCTTAAGTATGGTATTTATACATTCAGAAGGGTCATTTATGTTATGGCTTAAATATATCAATTTTCAGCCCTGTATTAGCATGGATGAATATTCTAAGGTAGTTCTTACTCACCACAGCATTGTGTAAATAGACTTGAATTTTGTTATTATTACAGTGATTTTATCCTTACTTCTAATTTGTTACAAAATGTTTTTAACTCATCTAGGTTTCAAGAAATTTCTTTTCACATCATGACTAAAGGAAAACCACTATCACAGGCTAATAATACTGATTTCCTTTCTTTTCATGCTTATATCAGGTCTTGGCTATCAAACTGCTTCAGCTCTTTGGGTATGAATAACTCTCTCTGCTTATTACTTATTAAATAGTCTTCATTTAACTAATACTGCTATATATGACATTGGCATTTCTGGCAAGGATCTTTTAAATCTGTATCAGCAACCTAATTCTTGATCATTGCAGCAATATTTTAGATTATAAATATATATATTTTTCCAAAGTTTCCAAATGTGCTTAAAGCCCCTGTCTTTCGCTATTGCAATTTCTAAATTTTATTCTTGTTGTTGTGCATATGTACCTCAATGGTTAGGTTTATAAGCAATATGAAACTATACAACCACCTGTTAATACATTTCAGAATGTGAACATATACTGATAGTCGTGTATTTACAGCTCTGCCTAAATTGTAGTTTTACTATGAATTTAAACACTGCTTGTATTTTGGTTTTTTTTCAGTTCCTGATAAATCCAAACAACCAGACGGAACTATGTATGCAAATCTACCTGGCAGTCATTCAGGTACACAAGACGTGCCTCCATTTTTCACTAACGGACAAGGTATTAACCTAGCCACCTGTGTTAGTTCATGTCCATTCACTAGTTTATTTATCAGTATTGTCCATTAGTGATTAGATGCATTTGGTGCATACATGATGACATTCAAATCCTTATCTCATAATTATCCTTATTTGGACATTAACAGACAATACATTCTAAATTATTTTGAGGCATTCTGCAAACTATGGTAGTAAGATATGTTAACATGTTTGAATGTAAATGCATTCAAGGAAAAAAAACACATTATGCGAAAAAGAAAGATTTTTTTTTTGCATGTCTTTTGCTAATTGGTTCGTCTTTGTTCATACTTTGCAGTATTCTGGCAGTAAACGCATAACCATATTACCAATCATCCAATGTAGTCCTAACCATTATTGCATGTTTCAACGATTCATACATGCATGTAGACCTGTAGGATATAATGCATAAAGTATCAGTTGAGAAAGATTATTCTAAATATTTCTTTTCAAATACATAACCAAAAATACATGCAGTATTAAAAATACTATGTGGAACAGAAAATTCTGAAAATGTTTTAACCTTTTCACCACCAGACTTTTTTGGCCAATTTTTTCTGCACTTTTTGTCTAATGTTCTTCAATATTTCTGGAAATGAACCTTAATTTTGGAACCAATAGAAACAATTTGAGTCTCAGTTTTCACTCAAAAATTTGTCTCTTTTTGTCCCAATTTTCTGAAGGAAAGTGCAGACTATAAGTGCACTATTTTGTGATGAAAAGAAGGAACTGGTGTAAATACTGAAATTATTGGAAGCATATCACAAAGTATGCATGAAGGCAGGATAATAGTGACCAATGTGTTATGGAAGTCAATGTGATCCTGTACTGCTTGTGTGCATACTTTGCTGTATTCTCACAATAACCTTTAATTATTACACATCATTTCCTACTTTTAGTGAAAGTTTTGTGACATGATGAATGTGACATATATTTTTGATGCATATTTTCCATATAAAGCAATACATTTGTACAGGTTTCTATGGACCAGTGAATTTTGTTGTTTTTGCTGCCAGCTGTATCATGTACTGTAGAATACTTTATTTTCGCTTGGAATTTATTTTCGCTATTTTCGCTGAAGGGATGAGTCCGTGAAAATAAAATCCACCAAATATACATTTTTTCCTATATTTCACAATCACCTCATCAAAAATCAGTGAAAATAAATTCCATAAAGAACGCCCATAAAGCCTTTTCAGCGAAAATTCATTCCAGCGAAAATAAAGTATTCCACAGTACATAGTTTAGACTGATTGATTGAATGGATTCCTTTGACATGGTGATTTAATTTAAATACTCTAACCTTAATCATAACAAATCCTTAAAAAACTGTATGGGGCTGGTACAATTAGGCTTTATATATAATAGACAGATGTTTGATTTTCAAAAATCTCTTGTCTTCATGTTACTGTTGATTTTTTTCAACCGATGCTGGTCAAGGTGTAACTTTTAATACCAAGATTTGAAAGTAAATAAAAAATCCATTGGCTAATTATAGCTTTTAGACAGACATTCATTTGGATATTCAAATTTAGGGTTAAAAGTAAAAGTGTCTATCCATTAGATACATTGTATACATAAAAGTGATCAACCAAATCAAACTACCTTGAGATATTTTATTTATTCCATGCACATGTCAAAACAGTTTGTACACCAAAAGGTAATAGCTGACCACAGGCAAAATATG